CTTGGCATTAATTCATTACAATAACTGATAAAGAAGAGAAGAGCGAGAACTAATACTGCCTGCAGGACTCAATGAATTATACTTAACCAGCATATTATTGTAGGCTGATAGTAGAATGTCACATGAACACAGATATAATCAAATTCTGTTTGGGGCACCATTTATTTAAAATACTTCAAGCCCCTTGCTGGCAGAGCAACAACGAATTAGCATGCTATACTGTGCACTTCAATTAAAAAGCAGCCTCATCTTTCCTATTTCCAAGGTACAGCAGAGCAAATCTAATTGTGCCATGCAGCCAGCTCTCATCTTTGCAGAGTAACCAGGGTTTTGGGGTTTTTTTGCTTTTTGTTTTTGACAGATTTGTCATCTTCTGAATGAGGCAATGTAGGCTTTTATGAAACTTGCCTCCTAATTGCAGGCAATAAACATAAACACAGCCAGCAGCAGAGGCTGTAGCAACTACAGCTGAAGTAAAATGAAAATAAAGGTAAGAAAAGAACCACAAAACAAATTCATTTTACATATGATATGAATAGTTAAACCACCAGGATCTGGATTTCAGTGCTCACAAGAGACATACACATTTCACTTTCAATATCAATTAAAAAACCCCAAACCTAAAACTTAAATGCTGAGATAGGCAAAGATTTTTTATATTTTGGAGGTTAGAAGGTATGACTAATCAATATGAAATACTTATATGCCAGGATGTTTTTAACTTTTAAAATATTTGCTTACAGCACAAAGAATCTCTGTTCTTGAACTTAGGTTGAGATCTTTGAATATGAGATTTGTTGCTTTTGACTTCAGATCTCCTTGTTCATACTGATTATCTCACCCCAAGTGAATAGGTAAGTCCTTGTGCTTCCTGTTATCCACTGCTCATTTCCTATTCCTGATACAAACAATGCAGTGCCTTTGGGTAGGAATTCAACAGGGTGAACCCACAGAACCACAGAAATGAACTGCAGGAGGGCAGTTTGGCCAAGCTCCCACTCTGAGTGGGACTAGCACCAACACCAGTGAGGTTGACCATGGCTTTGCCTGTTTGAGCCCTAAAAGCTCCAGAGATGGAAAGTACACAGGCCACCAGACAACGTGTTCCTGAACTCCATCACTTTCCTGCAGAATTTTTTCATAAGACACAATTTGAAATACTCAGGCTGGAATTTGCCTCTTGCTATATCATCTGACATGACAGAGAATTACCTTTCCCTCTTTGCTGCTACTCTTGCAGCATTTTTGTCACTACCTTTTGTCACTGCAGCTGTAGGCTGCTCTTTTATTCCCTCCATTGTTTTTTACTCCCCACTAGGCCAAGGATATTGGTGATAATATTACTGATATTAATAGTGACAATAACACTGATATTTTTGAAGGCTTTGGGTATCAATCATCCTAATTGATCTTATTTTAATGTTTCTAGGGGTATACACATCACAATTACTAGACCTAGGGTTTCATCTGGACAACAAAGAATGACACAAAATGTAGCAGAAATGCAAAGGAAAACCCAGATTACCGACTCAATTTAACTATTTATTCATTCTTGGCAGAGCAGCTGGAGAGACTGGCTGACTTTTGGACCAAAAAGGCAAAACCCCTAAATTTGTTGATAAGTAAAAAAAAAATTAAAACATCTTTGCCTGGTTTCCAGTGAAAGACGAAAGTACACCACAAATACAACTCCAGAAGTTAAACACTGAAAAGCAAGTGCTACCATCTTATAGGTTTGATTTATTATTTTCATAATTTTATGCTAAAATTACTACAGTAATGAACTATAATGGGAAAGCTGTCATTTTCAAAAATCTGCTGTTCATCACATTGTCTTTATGTTTACTATTAAATGTTTTGTACACACAGGTTATCTGATTCAAAGAAATCTTGTGCGTTAGCGCTGTTACAGATAATAATGGAAATTCTATTACAATTTTTCATGATATCCACTTTTCAGTTGCAGATTGCTACAAAAGAATACAAACCTTAACTTTATTATCATTAATCAGCATTAGTAAATATAATTGACATTTTATACAGAACCAGCTTTAAGTAACTTATTGGCAGCAATACAGATGCCTCTTAATATTACCCTCTGGCTAGCTATGCTGTTTGGGCGCCAGAGTGTCTGCACTAATGACTTGGAATTAAAATCAAATAAAAGCTGAGAACTGTAATTCAGTATAAAACAAACAACTATGCCTAGTACCAATCTTTATATATATAATTTGGATATATCCGGAACTTTTTAAATTTGCAGTTGGTATAGAACAGTGGAAGTGTTTGAGACTAGATAACAAAATAGGATAGAGAACACGAATCTGATGTTCCCAGATTTGTACACTTACCCTTAGGCACACCATAGGAATTGGAATGAGGAGAAAAAGTAGAGAGTGTAATTAACCTTTCCTTGCCTTTTTTTTTTAAACAACAACAAAAAGGCAGAACATTTTAGACAATATACATAGTAAAAGTACACATTTTTCTGCCCTTATTTTTCATCTCAGCAATTTCTGTAGTTTCCTGAGGATTTAATGTGCTTAGGCATGAAAGGCACCTAATCCTTAAAAAAATTTCCTATGAAGATATGGATTATGTTATCAAAAAGATTTAAGAAAACCTGCTTCACTGTACAACCAGGAAAGCTGCTCTGCCTCTCAAAGCCTCATGCCCTGACTTCCAGATATCAAGTAGTGGTTTTTTTTCCAGAGCATATATGAGCCCTCTCTTGCCCACACCACCCATGTATGACCTATTTGACTTCAGCTCTGGGGAAAAAAATTAATAAATTAGGAGTAAAGCCAAAATACTTTCCAGTACTTTTCTATTTTATGATGGGGCCTCCAGGGGCCACCACACATTTAAGCCCCCTGAAGGGCTACTGATAAATCTTGTTGCACATGTCTCTCCTTTATCCAGTTTATCCCCACCCTTTGCTTCAATAATCTACGTTTAAAGTCACTATAATTTATTTTTAGCCAACTCTGAGGAAGAACACTAGGATCTAGCCCTTTAAACATGGCTTATTTTATTCATACATTCATTTAAAGAAGTCAATTCTTTTCTGAGCTCTCATTTTGGTAAGACAGTTAGGAAAACAAAAGAACGTATTTAAGCAAGAGTAGTATATATTAAACATTCCAAAGAATACCTATATTGCATGGGAAAGACAGAAATTTTATTATTATACAAATATATATGTATATATAATCTTCTTCTTGCTTCATGGATCTGATCTCCTCCATGGAGAGTCACAAATCCACACGATAGCCCTGAGTGCTCAGATTTTGCATTTGCTTCTCTGATTTTACAATAGCTGAAAGATATGTAAAAACTCATGTAGCCAGACAGCTCCCTACTGACTACACATCTAAGCAACTTCACATGCATACATTATTCCAACCACTGAAAGCTGGAAATAACATATGCCTTAAAAAAATAAAAAACCCCATGCTTGAAAGGAGCCTGTTTTGGTTTCTATGCAAAACCCTCAGAGCTCTTCCTGACCAAACTACACCCTTCTACAGAGCACTGCCACCTCAAGTAGGGACAAGCCAAATTGCTGAGTTATACTCTGCTGAGTGAAGGGTGGGAATTTCTTCAAAAACTTACAAAGATGACTACAATAGCACTTTATTGTTGAATGCAATTCAGGGAAAAAAGTTAATAATAACTACTACTGTTTTCCTAGTGTTATCCTGGAGAGTTTTTTTGATTCTCTCCCATTTCTAATCATAACTCCAGTAAATGACCACTGGCCATGAAAAGCATCCAAATGACTTTCATTAAAAACAATAATCTATCGCATGGACCAGACTGACATAATTTTGTTCACAGAAAACAATAAAATGTCCAGTTCACTGTTCCTGACAGTGTTGCTATGATAAAAGTATACCTGTAGTGTGTCCGTAGTTGCAGTGATTACAACTCCTACTGCTTTCCTAGCTTAGGAAAGTTAATGGTTTAATTATCCAACCACACCTCAGTTCTTAAAAGTGTTGTGTTTAACTGAGGAAGTGAGGATGAATTAAGATGCCCTCTACAAAGAGGTCAAGTGAATAATAATATGTTGATTTTAGGGTATATAATCATCACTCCCACTCTGGATCTCCTTCCTCTTCTTCCCCTCTCCCTAAAATGTAGTAAGATGGGAAATCAAACAGGTTTCATATTTCTGAAATTGTGATGGTCAAAGTTTAGAAAATCTCTCCTGGTAGACCGTGAACCAAGATTTTTCAGAGACTTACAATTCACCATATTTGGGCATGTTTCAGAGTCAAAACAAATTTCAAACCATGACCAAAACATGCAAAAATCTGAAAACTTCAAAGGGATATTAGTACAGGAATTGGGGTTTGTACATGTCTATTTTCTTCTCATGAGCACAACACCGCACATTCTCCTAACTGAAATCATGGGATGTATTGATAAACTGCAACAGATTTCTACATGGCACAGATATCAGGCACAGGTAATTCCAACCTAAATCATATAAAACAACAAATCTATAGGTTACAGAACACAGGATCTTATAAGAGAAGATCTTAGCTGTACATGGTACTACCAGAATGTATGCTCTCTTCTGTGACTCTATAAGTCAGTTAGATTTATATGCCAAAGATTGTGAAACGAATCGGGTGCATATCTCACGTCCTTCAAAATCATTATTGATATACACAGTAGTTACTAGACTGTGATCTAAAGATACTTACAGGGTACTGAAATGGAAACCTACAAATTCTGTCCAAGTGCTTTTCAGAAATTATTTGTTTTCATCATGTTCCTTGCCAAATACATAGTGCACTTTTGTTCTAGCAAAACTAAGCATTTTGTACATTCTCAGCTTTTGTATATTTTTTTTCTTTTAGCACTAAATATTTAAACACATTCAACCTAAAAATCTCAAGCTAGTAATCTGCTGCTTGTGTCTTCCCCCCTGAGGAGTAACTATCAATGTTGCTGAAGGGACATTAAAGAGATTGCAGTTACAGTCCTACCTGCCCACAGGCCAGTCCCATGCCTCGCTCCCCCATACCATGAGGACATGATAAATTTAACTCCAGTGCATCAGCACCAGCAACCTGTGAAACATGTAGAAGGAAAAAAAATGCAGAATTAACTTCAAGTAATGCACTCTCTCCTGTAGCATTTACTGTTCATGCTATATAGATTTCTTTAGACATTTTATTTTTATTTTTTAAAGAGAGAAAGCTATGGTTATGATACCCTGAAAAAGAACGTGTTGATCATTACAGACAAAAATTTCAAAAATTTATGTGGTTTTCAAAAATTATTAAGGAAATTAAAGTAAAAAATATATTAAAAAGAGACAAGGACAATAAAGAGTTCGTTCTGGAAAATGCTAAAAAATGCAATGTAATTGCAGGGCCTTAGAGCAGCACTGAAAGAGAGGTTTGGCAGGCAGTGTTACACAGGTGTTGCTGTGCTCTGAAGAACTGTAACTCAGGAGTAAATTTTTCCTTTCTGCTTTAATGAATTTAGTCTCCAAATTTTCTGCAGGCATCTGTACTGTGTCATAGCTTTTGACATTAAATATTTTTCTTTCTGAAGAACAAGAGAGTAATTAAAAAAGTCTATACAAACATATTATTCACGCTAATTTCTCTTCATCACCCTCTATTAGTTACAATTAAAAAGGCAAAGGAGCCAAGTTGTACAACGGCGGCACAAAGACATGCTTCTCTTCCTTTCTGCTGAACTGCTCCGCCCGAGACAAACATCTCTCCTGTTGCCTTCCACGTGGCTCTAACTAGGATGTTGTTTTGCATTTGCATTTTGTTTTTGCTTATTGAACTGGAGTAACTTTGCCTGCTGTGTGGCCATGGTTCAGCAACTCCCCAAGTGCGTGAGCAGGGGAGAAGCCATCCATCACTTTCAGGAATCCTCCACATTCCAGCCAGCTCCACGAGTCTGGCCATGCCGCGCTGCTGCCGGCCTCCCTGACAAGCTGACCTTTTGTATGAATAGGTCGCCCTCCTGCTGAGAGGCACTGCAGTACCTTCTGGGGCTTCTGCTCTCTGGAAAGCCACATCTATTACCTCCTAGGTAGGATCCTACGCATGCGATTAAATATCACTGCTCTTCAGCTGTGAGCTCCAGAGCATCCCAAACTAGTGTGCTGCTCTCCACAGAGCAGACACCAACAACTACTTTTCAGAACAATGTTGTACCACACACGTTACACATCACTGACTGCATTTAAGGAACCACTTTTTTCTAAAGGGGTAACACAAATACAAGCACGGATTGGAACTATCTGTCTTAATGTGGATAGCAGTATCATCGAATTAAAAAAACGGGAGCAAATGGCACAATAAAGCCATTCATCTCAGTCAGTTTAAAAGTGGCACTGCTCCTGTCAAGCACAGATTCCAAAAAATGATTTCATGGTCAATTAGGTAAATACAGGTATAAATTGAAATAGTGTCGAAGATCACCAAGCTAACTACTGATAATGTTTAATTTCACTTCCCTAAGTCCCCAAAGTGACTTTTTTCCTCACAGGTTTAAAATGCTCAGAGAAAATAGAGAAGTGTCGTCCCACATCATCATAGGAGGGCTTAGGACACTAAATAAACAACAATGTCCAAACATTCTGCCATATGAAAACACAAATTCAAAATATACACACCTCTATCCACACATATATAAACACATTTTAAAAAATATTACTTACAAAACATTTAAATCTGAGCTAATGCTAGCAATAATGACAAGCTAATTTTTTTCTTTGCTTAAATGTGTTAATACTATGCTATTTATTTCCTCTAGATAATTTATGTGGAAAACACACTTTCATTTAAATATAACAACTTTGCATTCCATTCTGATATAGACACCTTTCTGAATGAAATTATTGCAGTCTTAATCAAGTATTTCTTATACTACTCCCTATGGACACAGGTACACGTTATTAAATAGTTTTTCCCTTCAAATTGAATAGAAATTTCAGGTGCATAGTCTGTTTGCATTTCTGTAAGACTGGACTTACACCATAGAAAGCCTGCTGACTGCTATTATATATGCTGGCTTTCTCAGCTATCATTTTTGAAAGTCTGTATTAAAACTAGAATAGCATTAAATGAGCCTTTTATACTTTAAATATTCAAGAGTTTTATATTCAAAATTTCTTCTAGTGCTGTCAAACTAGTGTGCCTGTAGGCAAGGTAAGATCAAGTTAGGCTCTCAAAGGTAGAATTAAATTTTATCAGGGCATCCGTCATAATATACAGTTTGCTTAAAATGCAAATAAAAAGTATATAGATTCAAAGACTAAAGGCTTTGCAGGTACTGCTTAAAAATCCAAGGGACCATTTTTATGGAACAGATTTCCTTTAAATTTACATTTCCATCACTTTAATGAAAACACAGAATAAACAAATTACAATGGACATGTTTTAAATTTTCATTTTTCTCTTTGAATCTATTTCTTTCTTACTGCAGCTCTTGTTTTTAAGGAGAATTAAAAAAAATATGCAGAAACACAATTAGGAAACCATTACCTCAGCCATTTTTGAAAGTTCAGTCCAGTCCTCCCTGCTATAGCTGCACATGATACTGGCAATCAGAACCTGTAAAGAATACACATGCAATCATTTTAAGCTATGTTACCATATTCTGTAATACAGCCCGTTACTGTGACTCCAGCCTTTAACTGCCACAACCTGCACATGGGAACTACCAGCTGCATGCCACCAGCTATACAGTGAAATACAGCTGCAGATTTCACTGGGGGTGAGACACAGTATATAAACTCATGTATTGTATCCCTGTTTTTTAAGATATCTGGGATAGGCTTAATCTGTCACCCCCTCATCATAACACTTCTCTCAAACCTTCCCATAATGCTGAGGGTTAATGACTCATTCATTTCAGGTAAATACTGAAAAGCACAGTGTAGAAAAATTGTTCAACACACACAATTGTTGGAAACTGCAAACTCTCAAATTATCTCCATAAGAAAGATGAGATATTTAGTATCTTTAGAAGGCAGGGAAAGGCACTTTAAAAAGTAAGGCAGCTATGGAGAAAATTGGACATGGTGAGGTAACATTCTATTCATTTAAAAGGACAATACCACTTATCATCATCATTATTTCCACTATTTCCATTGTTTTGCTCTGATGAATCTCCACAATCAATCTACCACCCACCTACTTGCAGACTATCTACCCATCCACTCTCCTGGTTGATGTTTGCAGGATGGGAGTCTTTTGAGAAGGAAAGCATTTGATAAAGCACCTGCCTTGCCCGCAGGTGCCCATTTGTGTCCACCTCTGGCATAAATATAACACCAAGCTTTTCATTAAGCACACACAATTATTACTGGCCATGCTTTTATTTCCCTCTGACAGAGAAAAAAAATCTCTCTCCTATACCATAGTTTTTTTAATTGTGAAAAATCTTATATAGCTTTATATGTTATGACAAAATCTGCTCTATGTCCTATTTGAATATTCAAGACAAATTGAGTACTCTGGAAATAAACAGAAATCTCTTTTAAAGGACTCTAATATTTTTAAAAGCAAAAATTGCGAAAAATCAGTTCAAGAAATTATATATGAGAAAAATATAAAGCAACTGGAATTTAGCTAGAAACTGTATCTTGTCAAATTTATGCTTTTTTTAACTTAACTAAAGCAAAAAAAACCCCCAAACAAACAAAACAAAACAACCCAGCAGCTCAGACACTGACAACTTGATAAAGATTTTCACACTTGCAGTCAAAATCCAAAGTATATCAGAAATTCGCACAATTGAGCTTTAAAACAAATCAAATGTTTTCATCAGGGAAAGTTGTAAGACAACAAGGGTGGCTGACTATATTCATAAGGAGTTGAGTTACATTACATCAAGTGTTATTAATGAAATTTGAAAATTCTGCTGGGAGTGTACAAAAGAGGAGGAACAAGATCTGTGATGTTTCAAAGAGCTGTTAATTAAGACAACATGTTTATTTAATACTGATTAGTTTTAGCATTCACATTTAAAATTAAGTACATACTTTTGACAGAAGCAGTGGTTTACAATAACAAAAATAACTGAAAGGAAAAATTACATTTCTGCCATGACTCTTCACAGGAAAACCATGATCTCAAAGGGAATAATGAAAATTTTAAAATAGTCGGGATTTTATTCTCCTTTTTCCCCCCACTGTTCTCTTATAACTTGAAATGAAACTTAATTCCCAGGTGGAAACATATCTTCCAGCACTCTGCTAACAAAACTGTCCTTCCTCGAGTGATTATTCTTCCCCAAAATGCCTCTACAAACTTTTCATTTGGAATCAGTACCCATGACAAAAAAAAAATAATAATTATCATGGGTGAACATTTAGGGGAACTATCTGTGATGGCTGAGGTTTGAATCAACTCCTAAAATCACACACGGGAATTTATAAAGAAATCACAGACTATTATCTCCTACTACCTAGAAAGAGAATAGCAAGAAAATAGAATAATAAGTGATAAAAATCAGAGGTTTTATTGGGAAGCAATAAACAGAAATTGTATCACATTTCAGCTTCTTAGCCTCTTCTCACTAATTTTTTTTTTTTTTTACATCTTTGGTGCCTACAATGCCATGTACCACATTACCACTCCTGCAACTTTAATGGCCCCAAACGGTATCTCTCGAAAGTCCAGCATATGGTCCAGCCCAGGTGCATCCATGGAGAGCACATCCTTCCTCCTGATTCCTGAAATTTGCAGTGGCAACCTGACATAAGCTTAATTACAGTGGTTTGAGCCACAAGTGCGAGGCCTCACCATGCTTCCCGGCTTACAAAAGTGGGCTGCTGACAGGTCTTACAATGAAGCTGCTGCTAAAGCGTAGTAAGTGGTAAATGAAGGTTGACTAAATTGCAGCTTTGTCATAGCTTGAGTGTGGGCTGCCTGCGTACCATGCATGATTGAAGCACAGTGGGACCCCTGGCCCTCTCTTTTTTCCAGATCAAAATCATAGTTGGTATGTGCTGCGCCCTCCTCTTCTTCATCCAAACTGCTATTTTGCCTGTTGCCGAGAGATCCCGCCTGCTCTACCCCGCGCCGAGGAGCGCAGCAGCCCTGCAGACACTGCTCCTCCCTGACGATCACTGTGACAGATGTCACAGACAAGGTCCTTATGCCCTGACACTACACAGGGTGATCCACAATTTCCCTGAATGCCCATAAAGGGACAAACACATTTGTAACATCGGACACTGTTCTGTGTTCAGAATTTTCTTGATCATTCATGGAAGAAAAAGGTCCACAATAAAACTTTTTTTTTGTTGGAAGGAAGGGAGATGGAAAAGGGAGGGTATGTAATGCACCAGTTAGGACAGAATTATAAGACGAGTATACTGTAGCTAAAGCACCTCGCAAAAAGCTACATTTCACACAATTCTGTAACTAATGCATTAGTAGTTGTTCTACTTAAAAGAACACTGACAAGGTACTTCTCTTAATCCTTAAAATATTTTTCTCCCTGTTTATAATAATCCCCTGGAAGCTTAAACTAGAATCTATCTCCCTTGTGTACGTTGTTTTTTTTCTCTTCCATTATCGTTATGTGGATGTCTCATGAACGCAATAGCATTAAAAAAATAAAAAGGATGAGGTTTGTCACTGTGAATGTTTTCAAGTGATCTTTCTTTCCTAGCACACAGAATTCACTGCAAAAGGTTGCAAAACAAAAGGAAGGAGAGAAAAAAAAAAACTGGGCCTACTTTGGGTCAGACAATCCTGAGAAAATCTATTTAAAGCCAGACAGCAGTAAAACTCTAGGTCGACAATTACCATTTGTCCTGTACTGACTGCTCTGCAGGGAGTAAAGGAGTTTCAGTACACTCAGTCTGAAAAAAATCTCAGAGGGCTGGATTTAAATGTGAACACTGTCAATTCCTGTAAATTTAGGAAAACTTCCCAAGAGACAGAATGCAATCACTATCCCCTACCCTCATGCCTGTAAGAACCAAATTTATTTTGGTCATCTCACACAGGCCAGAGCCTGTATCTGTTCCTAATTTACTCTTCCAGGTCTCTATGTAATCTACCTGTACTTCAGGAAATTCAGCCACCGATATAATTTCTGCTTTCTCTTCCCTACTCGTCCTTTCTCACTGCTGTATTAGACTTGAGGGCACTTCTGCATCAAGTGTCCATAGATGCTCCATTTAGACACTGCTGCTGGCCACAACATGCACCCCCTTCTGATTTCTCACACAGTTGCAAAAAACCCCAGTATTTTATTTTTTATGTGCACAGTCCTTGAAAAAACCTAGTCTTGCTATCATCTTTAAGAGACTGTTCCCCTGAAAGCTGTAAAATCAAGAGGAGCTTTCAAGAAGACTGAAGAACTGCTTTTTTAACAGCTACTTGTTTGGGAAGCAGAGATATGGAATAGGATAATTACTGTGTAAAGAGGGGGTGCGGAGATTGAAGATGACATTAAGAACCATATTTCAATACCCACAAAATTATTGTTGATCAATCTAAACTTCAAAATTTTTTTTTTATCTGGGCCAGATGGAAAGACCTCAATCCTCCTTTCAAGCCATGTTTCTTCTTTCAAAACAATACAGTACAGCCTTCCCACATGACCTGCTTACCCTGAACAAATGCAAACATTTTTAAACAAAATTCCTCAGGAAGCATTTACTAAGAAGGAATTTAGCACTGAAGATATAATATTTCTAAAACAATGGCCAAAATAACATTCTCACTCACCAGTGGAAAAGACACCTACATCCATACCAACACACAAAGACAGGAGAACTTCTTGGCAGCTGAATCACTGTTTCACAGCATTAAAATCCCCATCTGTCTGAATGAGGGGTACACACACTCAGTTTTGACCACACCTTCTGTCACCCATACGTTGTAACAGGCCAACTCACTCTGAACTCACTCACTCACAGGATTTCCTGAAGGTCTTGAACATGTGTAGCTACAACAACATGTGGTCCACCACACGCTTGTTGAAAAGTTAATAAAGAACGGTTTACAGGGCACTTCTTAGCTATTTCAATGACACGATAAATAATCTTGTAAATATCTACATGGAAAATACATCTGCTGCATATGGATTTCTCACAGTTCTTCACACATGCAAGTCAAACAATCTGACCAGAGGCCAAATTCTGCCCTCACAATAGCTCTTAGATGCAGTCTCAACAGCAAAGAGTGCAAGGCAATACCAACAGCACCACAGGATTTTTTGGGTTGGTACAGATGTTACACCTTAACAACTCACACCACTAGCCTTCCTTTGTAACCCTGCCTCTTGCACAGCATCAGGTCCAGGACAAGTCCCAGCTATGCCCCATCGTGCCAGCAGAAAAGTTTTTGGAGACTTACTCCTGCTTGGTGCCACTTGTGGCCGTCCTCTGCTTTTCAAAATGGCCACTGGCTGGCAAAAAGATCATCCTCAAAATCATCCAGCCAGAATTAACTATGTATAAAACACTTGTAAGTACCCACTGTACAAGATAAGAGTACAACTGCAGTAAATATTCTGTATTGCACAAATACGCTTACATGTACAGCAGTGAAAAACAACAGAAGCACAAACATTTGCTCTTGCAAAAATA